CAGGCAGTGGACAGTTTTGAAACGAGAAGTGTTGAAAGCCCTTTTCCCTTACATAGTTAACTTGCAAGCAAATTATGGCAAGAAACTAACAGATCATCCACATGCTGAAGATTGCTCTGCTGCACATCACTTTATTAAACTAACTACAGGCGTACATTATGAACTATTACATACTTTGAGCAAGTTTATCATAAGTTGCATTTCTGCAGTTGAAACAGTCAGAAGACCAGACACAAATTCATTCACAAGACCAGTCACAAGTAACTGGGTGGGATGCGTTTGCTTCAGTTTGAATAGCATGTGACCGTGAATTCAGACTGGAGGTCTTAATAATTATAGTAATAATTGAAAATTTATAATGCGCTATATCCATTAAAAAAAATCAACGGTGCTGTACAAGTTTTAACGCAAAAATAATTTAAGAAATGAAAGGGTAAGGAAAAATGAATAAGGATAAATGCATGTCACCGCGCTAGTGCCCAAACGGCAGTATGGGGATACGTCTGCCCCGCCAACAGGGAGAATCTAACCCTGCTGGCATCGGTGATGTCTCAATCTTTCCCGGGGACAGACGCCTCTAACCCTACCTACGATAAAAGAAAAGTAATTATACCCGACACGGTGACACGAACGAATCACAGCTAAACCTACGTTAAAATAATAACCGTACTAGATAAAATGAATGAAATCAATAATCTTGAAGCGCAATATATCACTGTGTAAGTGCAACATTAAAAGGTAAGTTTTCACTTCACATTTAAAAACGGCTAGGCTTTGCTCACACCGTAAATGGCATGGCAAAGCATTCCATAATTTAGGAGCAGCCATAGATGGATTTCACATTAGTCCTGTCTGCGCATATCTGCATCGAAACCGAGGCTCTCTGTGTTGAACTTCATCGCGCGTGCCCACGGAGTCCACACAGTACATGCAGTACGCGGTTTGTAAGTGTGATACCACTTCAGTTTAAACCACGCCCACTGCACAAGATACACGGCCATCGCAGGTACGTTAGTTCGCGGTAAATTGCCATTGTTTTTTCCTTTGATTTCATGCGTGGAGTCATTCTGAAAGGCTCTTCAAGAAAAATTTGCAGCCTCAAAAGTCTGAATTTAACATACCGTTACGTATTTTGTGTCTTAACTCCTTACTTTCAATTGTCTGATTGTATTAAGAATTGAAGCTGACACGTACAGCCTCGTTTTCAAACGCGGAAGTACGCAGATCGACGCTAAAAGCGTCGTAGTGGGATCCCTCTATTGCGAATGCCCTGTCACCAAGTGTGGGTAGCATTTAACCATTAGGGTAGCTTAACAAAGGACCATTACTTGCTGACCTGAGATGATACCTAGACTCCTCGGTCTTGTTATGGTCCTTCGTGTATGCTGGTCCACTGGGATCTTGTGACAGCCTTGAGAGGTCTCAGCTACAATACTGATAGATTCATTGCAAGGCGATTTTACTATAACTATCCTTACTCCACCAAAGTCCTCCACTGCCGGGTTTCCAGCTGGCAAATTTTTCATTTTTTTTTTTCAACAATAGCCAAAGTTTTTTCTCGTGCACATTTTTCCTGTAAATCACCTTTTATTAAGTGCAAATTGCAATTATTTTCTTGCCTATTCCTCATCAGGATTATTCTGTAAATATTTGCGATGGTATTCAGCAACAGTGGCCGCTGGCAGCTGGAAACCCTGTGTAGGATGTCAATAATGTATACATGCACATGTACATTTCTCAAGTGATTAACTCTTCCCTGAAAGGAGGTTTGGGCAGACACAGGACAGGCTGGTGCCAATTGCTAGCCCAGTGGATTTTTGCAAGTTGTAGTTGTGGACAAGCATGTACTGGTTCTAGAACTAGTGACATGAAGACACTGTGGGCCTTGTATTCCACTTAATTTCCCATGTGCCATTGGAAAGACCTACTGTAGAATTGTGTCAAATTGAGATGATGGGAACTTGAATTTCATCGGCTGTGTGCCGCTGTGAAGCCCTTGGGAGTTCCTACATGTTGGAAGTGTGTGGACCTGGCGGTCGTTGCTTTTACTTCTCCCATCATGTATAGTCTTCCCAACCGTCACGGTGATTGTGAAGGATTTGGATAGGTGGGAGTAAATGCCAGTTTACCAACTGGTAAATGCACAATATTTCCACCCCCTTTTGGTGGGGTCAAAAGCTGACAAGGCTTCGTCTCTCCTTAGGGTGTGATGCCAGACAGCACATAGCAGAAGGTCCCCTAGCAGCTAAAGAAGGAAGTATACCTAGGGCCCCAGCCTGGTGAGTTCAAGTATTTTAGGTGAGAGTGTCAGCGAGCCAACCGGATTAGCCTGATATTACTTGCATGTATTACAGTGATGAAAGAAGAATCAGCATGGAGCATACAGACACAATTATACATGTATCATTTCAATATATAGTGTAATCTACTTTTATTTCCAGTTTTTCTATGTACAGCGTGGTATTAATAGAACCAAGGATTTGAACCAGGTTTCAAGTCATTTAACTTACTTGAAAATGGGCATGCTTCATTGATCATACTTGTGCTTGTATAATACTACTGGTTTGGTGCTGTTAAAGAAGTGATTTTTCAATACAGTGCTTCACCAAGAGGTTACCAGAGGGAGGCCAACTTTACATTTGTGGTGTTCTCTTCTTTTATACTATCCAAATGTTGTCACCAGAAAGTAAGAGCATCTCTTTTGTGTATGATTGGTAGCCCCTTCCAACAGTGATCTTTAAAATTGTTCATTCCATGGAAGGTCTTCTTCACACTGCCTCATCTCAACCTTGATTATGGCCACTACCTTGAAATCACCCGACTGTGTTTGGTACTGAGTGCTTGGGTGGGGTCAGGAAACTTGGAACCAGTAGCAGGTGCTGATACAGGCAGTACTGGATTACAGCTTCACCAATAGCAATCTAAAGATCCTCACGAGATTGGCCTGACTTCTTTATGGGAAAAGCATTGATAAATACCGGTACACGTTGGTGCAATGGCAGGTAGCTATGATGGTGTGCACGGTTGTATGAACTACAATAAGAGGAATACTGAAGGTGTGCAGATCCTAAAGTCTGTTGATGCAGTCCAGTTAGTGATATGTAACACTTTGTCTCAGAAAGTCGGCTAACCAGCAGGTGACATACAGTTCATGAGGATGCAACAGTGCTATAGACTCCCTGATGGTCAGGATAGGGGGCCTTACCATGGTGGAGGATGTCAAGGTCATTGCCAGGGAGGTGTGTGTTTCACAACACTGTTTCATCATTGGTGAGCTGGCTTTATGGTTCCAGTTGGTGCTAGGAAGATTAGAAAGAAGCACATGCCAAGATTGGGGGTGCAGCGGTTAGTCAAGGAGGACTTGAGCAAACGGTTTAGATTAACCCTAACCCTTCTCAATCCTTCACCTGTTGGAGGACTGAGGAGTGTTAGAGTTAAGGGTGGAGGAGTTGGCAGAGCAGGCTGTGATTGAAGAGAGTGTGGATGACTGGTGGTCTTGGCCAAGAAACATCTGGTTGCAGGTTGCCCAAGTGGTTTGTGGGTGATGGACAAAGGGCAAGTCTAGGCACAAGGGAGACCTGGTGTGGACTGAAGAGGTCGGGAGTGCCGTGGATGAGAAGAAGCATCGCTTTAACTCATGGAAGTCATTAGGTGAGGAGATGGATAGGTTGGCCTACCTTGAGGCAAAGCAGACATCGTGAAGATGGATGTGGATGGCACAAAATGCCAAGAGAAGGGAGTTTTCCACGGAGTTACGCAGTGGCGAGGGTAGGAGGCAATTTTTCAAGACTGCCAAGCAGTTGGTGAAGAAACGGCAGGATGTGGCTGTTGTGAGTTGTGAGCTGTTGTGAACTTGGTAACGAAGTGATAGATAGCGAAGGCAAACAGGAGGTATAAAGGAGATACATGGAGCAGCGGCTCCATTTGAAGAATGAGTAGGACAGGGAGGTGGAGAATAAAGTGGTGGAAGGCCTGTATAGCCTTATTGAGGAGTGGGGGTGATTGAGGCACTGAAACACACCAAGTCTGGGAAAGCTGCTGGACCATCTGAAGTACTTAGTGAAATGATGAAGGCCTCGGCTGATGTTGATATCCAGTGGATGACAGCCTTGTACAGTTCCACTCTGGCACAAGGTCGTATTCCTACTGATTGGCAGAACAGCATCTTGCTCCCCTGTTCAAATGCAAGGGTGATCTATTGCAGTGCAGTTCTTTCAGGGCCACCAAGCTCGGAGTAGGCCATGAAGGTGTGGGAGAGGGTATTTGAGGTACGTCTGAGAATGCGCGGTGGATTTATGCCTGGCAGAGGAGCTACCAATGTCATTTTCATTGTGCAACAGCTGGAGGAAAACTTTCAGGCCAAGAAGATGAAACTCTACCTTGTGTTTGTGGACCTGGAGAAGGCTTTTGACCAAGTCCCAAGGGAGGCTGTGGGATGGGCCTTGAGGAAGAGGAAGAGGGGTGTTGAGGAATGGCCGGTGAGAGCAGTGATGATGCTGTACACGGGATCAATCACCGCAGTGAGGACACGTGCAGGGGATAGGAGGCGTTTTGAGCTGAAGGTTGGTGTGCACCAGGTTTCGGTACTGAACCACTTGCATGGATTTGTTTTTGCTCATGCAAGTTTTGCTATTTGATAGATATGACTCTTTCTCTACTCCTTGGTGCCTCTGAGTACTTGAAAATGTATGCATATCAACCCTACAATTAAAAAAGTGGCTTCCCACGATTGAGGCAAATACTTGGTGACCCACTGTCTTGTGAATAGCTCTCATTAGTACTAATTATCAAAATAATTATTTTATACGTTGGTCTGAACCAGGGCCAAGTTGTTTTAAAAATTTGCCTCTGTTATCATACAACAGATCTCGGTATAAACTATTTGAGTGACCAGATTAGAAGCCATTGCTTTGGGGCCATCCAGTTTGCACGCAGGTGGTACATGAACATGTTACGCACATTTTTTTCTCTGACCAATAGGGTGGTTGTGACTTGTAAAAAGTATGCACGCACTCAATTTAAAACCTGTGTGCTTGAGTATGATCGCCCAGCAGGAATGGCATCTCCTCAGATTTGTCTCTTTTGAAAATAATAAAAATGTACCATATGTAAAGGAGTGAATGCGTGTACCATGCAGATCAACTTCACCAGACACTTGTACTATACAGATACATACATGTAGTATGTAATGCATGTGTATTTTTTGAGTGGGAATTTTTTTACCTAACAAAAAGGGGGATACCTACATATCGCAGATATTCATGGAAATATGCCAAAGCAAGTATCTGGTTGGTTAGTGCAGGAGCACTTCCCACACTTTCCTTCTCATTGACTCAGGTTCACATCCCACCCAGGACATACAGGTAACTCAGATTGGGTGTTGATCTATACCTGATTTTGTGGGTTGTCTCAGGATATTTGACTGAGGTTTTCCTCCCACTTTTTTAAATGTAAATGATTCTTTCTGCATGGTCCTCTTTTTTCCAGATGTGTCTTGAAATTGTAAGCTAGAAAACTGCTTTACTTGACAAATCCTTAGTTTCAAAATGCAAAATGAAATGATTAACATTTACCAATGTAATTAAACATAGATGCCAATTTTATACAGTGCTAATTATCCCTTAACCATTAATTTCACAAATCCTTTCACAATTTCATAAGTCAGTATGTACAGTGTAAATAATCTTTAATTCCTAACTATGCAGTAAGCAAGCAAAACAAACCAAAAAAAACAAAAAGCAAGAAACAAAACAACAAACTACACGCAAAGCATCTGCATTACAATGTATATCTACATATTCCCATAACACCACCATTCACGGTGAAAGTTTCTAATTTTTAATTGAGTGCAGCAGTTTTGGCATGAAATGAATAATTTACCCCGCGCTTGATCAGACTTCTATGTTATTCTCACTGAGTTCAAAACGGATTAGATTGTTTAAATTGAACTCGCAATCCATCAAATGCACGGTGAAGTATTCAGATTCCATGCCTCCACAATAATAAACGTGTCTGCCGTTAGGGGAAAGCACAGACTTAAGAGCCATGGTTTCTCACTGCTCCTGTCTGGTTCTGTCCGTCCGGATATTCTGCAGAAATAGAAACAGAAAGTAACTACCTTTAGTGAAAATGTTGCAGTTGATGAGTTCTTTCTGGATGGCAAATTGTGGGTGCACCCTTAGGTAGAGTATGTGTATGCCTTGGATTTGCTTTGCAGCTTTTCTTTTTATCCATCAAGATTTGCTACCGCAGTTTTTACCCACAGTCTTAGTTTCTGGCCATTCTTAGTGATGGAATGTCAATTTCAGAGAGCACCTGTACAGTACCAGTACATGGTCCGGCAAGGCATGCGCCATTCATTTGACCACCTCCTGAACCTGCCTCGATTGACAAGATGCACATGCTAGGTGTGGTGCTCACCAAAGGTGCTCACA